CGCGGGGGGTTCTACAAGGCAGTGTTTTGAGCCCTTTCCTTTTTATTCTTGCAATGGCTGATGATATAACGCTGTGGTGCGTCAGTCCCACGAAAGCTGCGAAAACTATCGAATTACAGCTGGACGCTTGACAAGGTTGTGAAGACCACAGAAGGCTTAGGTCTCACGCTTTTTGTTGAGAAAAATGCATTACTATGCTACCGCCCCGATGGAGCACCGATCAGACTCATAGCTAATGCACCGTAGATAGGTGACGCCCTTCTTCAGCACGTTACTACTCAACGGTACCTGGGCGTCTTAACTGACAACCACGTCACCTAGCTTCTTGAAGCAAAACGCCTGCTCATTCAGTGTCGTCAATTGATGGGCGTTCTTTGAAACTTCTGCCGGAGCAACTTGGGGCTCTCTCTACAAGGTCTTCTAGCACTATACCATAGTCTCATCCTCTCTAGGATACTTTACACTGTACCGCTCCTGAACCTGAGAAGGCACCAAATGTAAATTCTCGAACAATTTAATCGTTGCACACTGCGACTATGTCTCGGGCTTCCACGATTTTCTGCAAACATAGCGACACTAGTAGAGGCAAGAGAAAATCCACTATCTGTTCATAGAAGAGAACGAGCAATGCGCCACCTTGTGCAACTCCAAAACACCACGTCGGCAATTTTCCTAATGACCAAGCTCCGAACACGACCATCGAGAGGTCATGAAGTTTCTTCAAGAAAGTGCCCTCGCATCGCGACTTTAATACGTTGTTTGCGACCGACAGCTTCAATTTGACGCGTTAGTCTTGAATGGAGATGTCTGCGAGAACAGAACTATGGCACTGGCGATCATATTGATTCGACATCGCAGGTGGAACGATATGTCACCCTGCCTTTGCGCCGCCTGGTGTGGCACTTTGTGTCTTAATAGTTTTATGTCCGCGTATAGTACACAACACTTTACACATTTTGAGCTCCCCCTTCATTCAACGTGGTTTTAGGCAATACACCCTTTCCCTCCCCCCCGCCCACCCCCATCCGCAGTTAACATTTAGAACTTCTTGGTTTTCTATCACTATCAAAATTTTCTACCCATTACCACCTCACTTTTTCAATTCCCCTCGCCTCTGCCCGTGCGAGCCTTTCCCCCGTGATGGGCAGATAACATCTATGGACGGGCGTTTCCTATTTGCCCGTCTAATCATTACACCAATAACAGCAACACAACAGACGGCTAAAAGAAGCGGAAACTCTGTCGCGATGGTTCTGGGAGAGATTAAGTGATGCCTTGTCCTGGCGTACTTCGCAAATCTAAAAAAAAAAAAGAAAAAAACATCTGTTGGGAAAAAGGGCAATCTCAGAGACAGCCTAAGAAACGCAGGATGTGGCAAGTCCTATCTTATTATCGCTTCCCAATAAGATTGCGGCCCGATAAGATCTCCGATAGACGAATAACGAAAAAAAGAAGTGTGAAGCCAAGCTTTTCGTTCCTCCTATTTGCAGCGACATCATACCATCCGTTGAAGCATTAAATGGATTCGAGCTTGACTCGGCGCTTGTCCTCCAACCTTACAGCGCATTTCCCAATCCTGCAATGGGCTGCTGACTTGTGTCGTTCGAAATGTGTAGCCGTAGACCACAAGTATCACGTCGGCGGTCGTGGTGATTTCTTTCCTCTAGTCACCGCCAGCTGACGAAGGAATGGCGGGTTCCGAACATCCTATTCTCACTCTACGAGCAACGAGATGGCGGCATTAGCCTACCCGAACGTCTAAGAACGAAGAAAAACGAGTGAACCTAGTGACTCTGCATTTTAAGCTGTCACTGACTATGGAAAACTCGAGCCTTCTTCAATGCAGCGTCAAGAAGAAACCCAACTGTGCCTTTTTGTTTCGTGAGAACTGCCAACTCGCAGGGGTAAAAATCGAAACAACTTAGCACCTTTGAACCATTATAGTGACAATGCTTTCTCGAGAGTGCTACTGGGCTTTGTCCAAAGTTAAAGCGATGATTTCACCATTCTATGGCACATAACGTGCTACACTTTGATCATGGTAAAATGGATGTCTCGCGGCCTCATCTCACAAGGACCACAGGTCATTCAAACCGCTTTTCAGTAGATACAATAGAGGTCAGTGACCCGTAAGCGTGGTGTCGTAGTCTTCCTTTAACGCTTGGTAGGCTATGTAGGCTGTAGCCTTCGCTTTGATTCATCTCCAGCGGAAACGGAGGGTGAAACTCCAAAGAATCTGCGGGATGACTTGCGTTTCGCCTATCGAACAAGGAGGAAACTTATTTGAATAATCAAAATGCTCAAATCGTACATTGCGTTTTGTCTTTATTTTTAACAAAGTTGTTGTCAAGCATAGACGGCATTAATTGGACGTTATATTGAGTGCACTGTTGACTGAGAATGCTCAAAACAAGCTCACACTCATGGGTTCCTAAGACCGGCAATCATAATGATGTGGAATGCACGTTGCATGTAAACTAACGCTTTTAGGGCACTTTAGACGACCCGCGAAAATCGAGTTCTCAACGGATCGCGCTGCAATTTGCTACGGAGGTGTAAGCAGGTGGTGGAAGTTTACCTCGAAAAAATCAAGGAATGTACTCACCTCGTCAAAGACAAAAACAGAAACCTATTCTGGGTATCTTCGTGACAAGCGCTGCCGACAGATGGCGTGCGCTGCGTCGAGGGCGCGCCGTCCGATTCCGGTAATGATAGCAGACGATCTCGCAAAAGAACCCGAATCGGCCGGCGCTCCCCGAACGCGACGTACGCTAGCTGTCGGGAGCGCTTCTCACTACACTCTAAAAAATGTTTGTGCGTCTACTTTCACGCACAATACTCGGAGAGCCAATCACCGCAACTTACGGAGGCAGCTCAGCGAATGACGATGCCGAAACATATGTTTAGACCAAAAAACGCAGTCTGAGTTGTGACATTAAGCAATGCAAAACGTGACGCTTGCATTGCTTAATGTCACAACTCAGACTGCGTTTTTTGGTCTAGACATATGTTTCGGCAATGTCTTTCGCTGAGCTGCCTCCGTAAGTAACGGTGATTGGCTCTCCGAGTGTTGTGAGGGAAAGTAGACTCAAGGGCTTTTTTTAGAGTGTACGCGTGCACCGTCTGCGAAGTGGCGGCGTAGATTGCATAGAACAAGCTTCTGTTTATATTCTTTTTTTAAACAAGGTAAGTTCTCTCTGATTTTTCCACTACATACTTCGACCAGCTGCTTGCACCTCTGTATTAAATTGCAGCGCGATACGTTGAGAAACTCGGAGGCATGCGGTTTAGAGAAGCTCGTTTTAGCGAACGCCGTTTTACCCACCCCCGTTTATCGAATGCCTTTATAGAGAACCTAGTTTAGAGAAAACGGCGATGAGCCTCTTTTTAGCGAATTCGGCCGCCGCGAAGCGGCGTGTACAAGTAAATCAGGTGAGTTAACATTTTTGTAATGAGCCGCCGCAGACTACCGCCGCGAAGCAGCGGGAGCGTAGCGGGAGCGTAGCAGGGGGCATGGCTTAACACGCGCACCAGTGATACACGCGAGAAGTAGGAAAGCCTTTTTTTTAAAAAGCGTCCCCTTTTCGATAAACGGCGTTTCTCTAAACTGAGGCTCTGCTTTGTCTAAACCGTGCTTCGATAAAACGTGCCCATTCTCTAAAACGTGCTTCGATGAAATGGCATTCGATCAACCGTAATAAACCCGAAAAATCGATTATTTCGGGACGTCTAAAATGTCTCAAAAGCGTTAGTTTACATGCTGTATAGATGTCGTTTACGTTTTACGCAAAATATCAGCGTGGGTGAGTTGGAGTCTCTCTCCAGCCGATCGAGAGTTGATGAGACGTTGTACCGGCGTGCTACTGCGTAAGCGAAAGAACAATGAGCATTATAGATTCCGGCTTAGCGGTCTTTTCGTTCTGTTAGGGAGCATCGCCACTGGTACTACGCTTATTGTGTCAGTTTCGTTACATTGTGACGGTACGAAACCCCCACCGCACGCATGAACTGTGTGAGCCCTTCTGATGAGGCAAAATCAGCAGACAGCATTAAAGATAACAGGAAATTCGTAGGGCTCATTGCATTTGCTCGCAATGGGTCTTGATTGCATGAGCTGAATGGTCTTCCTGGGCTCTGTAAGCACGCAACTTCAGAACTCGTGTAGCAGCAACGCTTCCTCTAGACGACAAAGCCGTATTGCTGGAGTTTCTATGCCACCCACCGGACGAAGGTAAAAAGTACGTTGGACAGACGGGAAGATGTCTAAATGACAGATTGCGCGAGCACAACCTAAAAGTGAGCGGACAGCGTGACGGTCATTTGTCCATGCACTGCCATGACTGTGGGTGCAAACCTGAATTTAATTTGTGCACTATCATTAGAAAACATAGAGATAAGACGGTAAGGGAAATTATAGAGGCGGACCTGATAAGAAACTACGGGGATCGATGTGTCAGCGTGGCGTCGATCGATTTGGCAGACAAAGAGAGACAGTTCTTGCGATCAGTGGCGTGGCTGGGGATTGGTTGAATGGCGCGGTGATGCAGAGTATTTATACCTTTGATTTTCTGACGATTAAACCAGTTGAAGTTAGCGCATTGTGTTGTCTCGTTCTTACCCTTCGTCCCTGTCGTGAAGCGCTATTATGTTCTCCACCCACCGGAGCTCAGCGCGGAAGCCAGGTCGGACACAAGAGCTGCGTTCTGCTGCGACTCGTGCTGCCACTGATGCAAGAAGTTGCTCACTCGTGTTCGGTCTCTCCACTGGTGGGTGGCAGCGAGACTCCAGCACTACGCCCTTGCTATCAAGAGTAATTCAAGGCCGTGCGAAAAATAGCATATAATTTTGATGAAGTATGCCAGTGCCATATATATTTCCCTCGCTCGAGCATCGTTACCGATACTTTCGTGAAGGGCTCCCTGATGGCACCAGGATCAAAGCTTGTCAAAGGATCAACCTACTTTTTGGTTCCTCTGAGCCCGGCCGTTTCGCCTTCGCAGCGGTGGTCGCCGACCCGAGCCTGCAGTTGGTGGGCGAGAGGGTCAAGGAGCGGCTCCTCGAATTCTTGGATGAGTACAACGGACTCCTCGGCGAGGACAACCGATTCCGCTCTTTGGCCGACAACGCTGAAGATGTCCAACAGCTGCCAGCCATCATGGGCAGTAAGGAAATGTTTTCTTTCTCTCTAGTTCTTTTTCTCCTCACACACACACACATACATACACACACGCACACGCACGCACGCACGCACGCAAACGCACACGCACGCGCGCGCACACACACACACACGCACACAAATACGCACGCACACACACATGCTCGCGCACGTAGGCACACAGGCACAGGGCTCTGATAACTTTCTAGTCCAAGTAGTGCGATAATCACAGAGTTTTGTTCGCTGACAAAACAAAAAAACCTTTGAGCGACCCACAAAATACGACTAAGAGTGCCATTTGCATTTCAGTTTTGGACGATAGCTGACGCTCAAGTGGAAAAAAAAAAAAAATTAAAAGTTGGTAACAAGGTGCTTTTGGAATTTCTTCGAGCACTTATTTGATGTTTGTAGTTCTAACTTGTAACATCTGCATACTAAAAATGGCAGCGCGTCTACAAAGTACTGTGGATATGCGTCGACAGTGCACCTAAAGATGCACGACAACAGCCAATTATTGTAATATAGAAAACAAATTTTAGAAAATTAAGTCGGAAACATAATTAATTTCGACTGCAATATGTAAGTTGTTACACTTTCCTATTGTGACCACACCACTGCGACAAGGTTTCTGTTGATCGCACTGCTTGACAGTCTGCGCGGTTTCTAAAGTTGTCCCATTAATCAAAGTGTGCTAGTTTGCTAACTTTACTCCAACCTACACAGTGCACATTGACGGGAACAAGGTATGAAAACAGAAATAAAAAACGGTTTTAATTCATGTTTCCGTTCTGTCTAGCACAAATGATGTGTGCAGTCTGTCGTCTAGCCACCGTGTCCCCTAAACCAGTTTGGAGACTCATGAGTTTGCCCTTTCCAATATCAAAAGTTTTATACATATAATTTGGATAGAAATGTGGGATTGCTCATGACGAGTGAGCGTGTTGCATTCCTTCAATGGCGCGCAGGAGCGATAACCACGTGTCCTGCACCGGATCATCGCTGGACTGCAGCTTGAAATAAATGTCCTCTTCTTCCCTCTACAATGGCAAATACCATATTTACTCGAGTAATAACCGCACTACTTATGAAGAAGGCCCTTGCGTCGACTTTCCCGGAGAACACACATACAGCCAATCATCGCGTTGCGCATAAATAACATAGTGAATAACTAGATCGAGGACACGATTCCCCATTCAAATGTAATCTTCACAGATGGTATCTTCGCGCGAAGACGTTATCTCTGCCCTGTAAACCGCCGGAATCATGCTGTCCATTGCCGTGATTGACAATCCGTGTGCTCCGTGGAAAAGCAAACCCTCAGGAGTTTTTCATAAACAGTGCGGCTATTACTTGAGTAAATTGGGTAAGCTATTGACCGAATGCAGCGCGTTGTATGGTCACGATGTGGAATGTGTAGACAACATTCTAGTAGCGTGCGAATTTATAAAACGGATCTTTAGTAATTATATATTCTATTATCTATTGACATATATTGAAACCAATATTCTGTAGCAGCGCGCCTACAAGTTCAAAAGTTATACAGCATGCCCTGTCTTGGCCTGTACAGTCCTCGACAGCCCAAGGGCAACGGGCATTGGGTGATCACGACGGCGTTCGTCGTTTTGAGATTGGTTCTTGATTTTGGTTATTGATTGATTGATTGACATTGCTTTAAGAAAGCTTAAGGGTAAGACCCCGTACTTACGCACTGCGGTATGAAGGAGGAGAGGGTCAAAGGGGGGGGGGGGGGGGTATTGTGACTATTGAGGTATGGGCATCAACATCGCAGCCTTCCTAGAGGTAATGATCCGTTCGCCGGTGACCACGCCTTGCCGCGGTTACGGTGCCAGCGAATATTCTTTTTTTCCCCTCTATTTTTAGTATCTGAGAAGAGCAGCGCTATACTCGTTTCAGTCAAGTCCTCACGCAGCCTATGAGCTGATAGGACCAATGAGAAAGCGTCAAAAGTGCACAATCATGGTGTTCGTCATGTTTCTGTACGCGTTCTATCATCGCTGAACCAATCCTAAACAGGAAAGGCCTAGTGACTGGAGCTTTTGACGCTCTTTGATTGGTCCCATTCGCTCGTGGCGTCAACTGCCCCTGAAATCGCAGGGGAACTGAAGCGGTTCCGTATTCGAGAACAAAATATTTAAATCATCTTTATTTAGACTCCCAGATAACAAATATCAAAATTATATTTCAGATTGATAAGCCAAGTAGCCACAACAGCGGTTTCGAAATAGCGCTGAAGCCTCTCCTTCCTTTCGCGGTTGGTGGGAGGAGAGAATACTGAAGTACTCTACGGAGATCTCAATATTTTCGCGCTTTCTTCAAACCTTACGCGATCCGTTCAAAGTGCTACACTCTGAAAAAAGCCTGTGCGTCTACTTTCCCGCACAACACTCGGAGAGCCAATCACTGCAACTTACGGAGGCAGCTCAGCGAATGACGTTGCCGACATATGTTTAGACCAAGAAACGCAGTCTTAGTGGTGACATTAAGCAGTGCAAAACGTCACGCTTGCATTGCTTAATGTCACAACTCAGACTGCTTTTTTGGTCTAAATATATGTTTCTGCATCGTGATTTGCTGAGCTGCCTCCGTAAGTTGCGCTGATTGGTTCTCCGAGAGTTGTGCGTGAAAGTAGACGCACAGACTTTTTTTTTAGAGTGTGCACGCGTTCTCTCACAAGCACAACGCGCAAGATAGCTACGCACGCGCAACACGCAAGATAGCTGAAACCTCTGGGGAGGACGTCACACCCAGCGGTTGTTTTTTTTTTTTAATTTTTTTTCACGTGTATTGATAACTTCGTGTCAATTGCTTGTGATATTCAAATTAACAGAACAAAAATACGCTAAACTTCACCTCTAACTCGTTTTTTCAAGAACCTCTTCAGCTTCCCTTTAAGTTGAAGCGAAGTATAGATTTAGATTCCTTGCCACCTCGCCGACTACAGCCTGTACGACAAACGCCCCGGTAGATAGCTCAGGTTGCATTCATTCCAGAAACTCTCCTCGACGCTGCGGTCACCGTTCTAAGCTGCCCGAAAACCCAGAACGCCTACTCGGTGGTGAAGAAAGACCTCCCGAATACGTTCCTCATCTCCATCATGGAACGATTCTGCCCTCGTCTGGAGGAGACCTTCGCGCTAGGGTTTCCCGTCGTCTCGGACCCGCTGGACGTTGTCCCCTTGCTGGTGGATCTCCGCAACATGAACGACATGAGTCACTGGAAAAGCGTCGTCATTCTTCATGACCCCGATTTCAGTAAGTAGATGGCTACCAAAGGTGTGCTTTGTTTTGTGCAACGGCTGCTATATGGGCGACTTTATTCGGCTGTGCAGCAAGGATAACGCTCAAAGACAGAAAAAAAAATGATTCAAAGTATTCTTCCTCGCGGGACCAATGCGATAGAGAGGAGGCGAACCAATATTGTGCTGGTGTACTTCTTCACACTTCACTTTCATTCGTTCATAGTGCGCTGACGGCACGAATCGCAAATTCAAGCCAGCTATTTTCTTCTGCTAAAATATCTTCTCTGCTGAAATCTCTTAAAAAAAATAAACTCGGCTACAGCAAACACCATAGCTTGCTTGAATCAACTGGTGGTGAAAAATGCCACTTGCCCGTAAAATGCATTCCTTCCCCTCTTTATTAATGCGATATCATTATTAAGATACTACTCAAGAGTTTTAGCTACGTATATTCTCGCCTCCTAATGCGCAGTAGGTATGCGCATTAAAACATTTCAGCTCACTGTGCTTTCTTCCCATTGCGCCGCGCGTATGAGGAGCGGCAGTACGCACTCCTTCATGTTCGCACCCTCTTCGAAGGACCTGACAAGCTTTACTTCGTTCTCGACGTCATACGAGAACTCGTCCTAGACGTCGTCTTCGACGACTTCTCCGAAGACGTCTTCCTCGACGTTGTCCTCGAGGTCGTTCCTGAGGTCTTCTTAAAGGTCGTTCTTTAGGTCGTCCGAGAGGTGTCCTTGAGATCACCCTTGACGTCGTTCCTAGTTAATCACCCCTGTGGTTTCTACAAATATGCCTCGGCCATCCATTTACTGCCCTGTATTTTTCATTAAACCGGAATCACAATATTTATTTCATCGCTCAATTCCATTTTATTATATATTCCCCTGTCTTTACAATGCAGCAAACAGGCCCATGGCACTGGTTGACCTCAATGGCCACTCTTTTTCTGTTTTCTTCTACCAGCACAATATAAACAATGCCTCAGATTAACAGAAGAGGATGCTACCTGCCTTTATAAAAATACGTTTAGGTTCTCGGTAACCAATCGAGAATCTTTTTGTGGATCGCGGAAGCCATCGGGGTGAGGAGAGAGTGTGTAAGTTGGGCAAGGTGGTTCTGACGCGCATAGGTGTTTATTATTGTCACGGAAACGATAGAATTTGGTAAGAGCAAGAACTCTGAAAAGGGATTTACTGTCGAGCCTTCGAATGACATTCAAGTTATCACTAAAAAGGTTAACGGCGATACGTGGTATTCCACCAAGAGGCTCTCCACAGGGTACTTTTTTTCAAGCTCACTGCTGTTGGAAAACAGTGTCCTGTCCGCGTGGAAGTTATGAAGCCTTGTGTGTTCGATGATGCCCTTCTTTCCATGGATTGGTTTGGGCTTCCCTAAGCTTTACGCTTACGGCGACGCCAGTCGAAACATGAATCGTCGCAAAAAGCGGCGCGAAAGTAAGGATAATAAAGCTTTGCTATTCGTTCACAGGAGGTGACTACGTCGAAGACATCGTCAAGGCCCTGAAGGGTCCCGGCGCCCGAGCAAAAGAAGCCGTGATCACGACGTATCGAGTTTGCTCGGATCGTCCCTGCAATGCCGGAACCGTGCACGTTGACGCCATCGTTCAGACGTTCTCTGAGAAATTGCACGTCCGGCACTTCGTCATCATCGGCAACTTGTCTCTCGTCCAGAGCGTGCTCACCCATGTGAGTGTGACTAAGGAGAGAGCCTCCTTGACTAAACTATAGGTCCTTTTTCGTAGACACGCAAAGAAACACTGAAGATAATAAATTCAATATCATTCGTCCAAACTGTTCAAGCACAGTTTATGTTATATCCTAAACATCTCCCGTTAAGCCCTCCTGAAATCTAAAGCCGGAGTTACACTGCTCATACATGAAGACCAACTTTCGGGGACTTGGCGGTTCAGTTCCAGATTTTAGTGACAAGTGGGGTATCGACCATCAAGCATTTTCTAAACGTATATTCGCTCGTCGATCACAATATCGCCCTCCTTTGCCGTCCCTCCCCTCACCGTCCTGCTACGGTCCGCCGGTGCCCTCTCCTTCTTGCACCGACCGTCTGCTCCTGCGGCCGCGTTCTGCATTATGTGCGAGAAGCGCTAAAGCGATAAAGATATCAGAAAAAAAAATTCCGCTAATCGAGGACAGTAGGCGCTAACATCGTGATACAAAAGCGAAAGGGGAAAGAAGACGTGAAAAAAATCAAAACTTCGCTGAGAACCCAGATTTAATCTAGACGCCTATTTCACTGTTGTACTTAACCCTTTGATCCCCCACACTTTACTAGAAATACTGAAGACCTAGAAATCCAAACGTGGTTTAAAAACGCACCGAATAACAGAAGTCTGGTCTCAGAAGAAAATTACCTTCTTTTTACAATTATGTTCTCGAAATGTTGATTGTGAGCAATATTGGGCATTTGAAGCATTATTTTACGTCCAATGACTGAAAGCGGTTACGACCTGCGAGAAGGCCCAGGTGCATTTCGCATTTCACAGAGTAGAGACACTTGTGACTGTATTTGTAATATTTGCGCCGGTCTTTCTTCTCGCAGTAGTGAGGCAAGTGGTGCACGCTATCATACCTCACATCCTCTGTCAGCTTTGGCTTTACAGGACAAGTCATCTGTTTTGAAGATGGAATTCAATGCTTCACTGCTAAGCCCAGGTATCCTCGCCCTTGAGAGAGAGGGCGTTATATTTATTGAGGCGCATATGGTGTGGGAGAAGTTAAATTATTCTTGAGTTGTAGCTCCTGAGCAATACCGAATTAAAGGGATCTCACCGTTTATCCCCATTCGTCGTCTCTTCCCAAGCTGACTTCTCTGCGTTTCTTCCGTTTGGTTTAGAGCAAAAACTAAACTAAATATTGAGAGGCAAAATGAATTGAGCGCATCCGAGAAGGCACACGTGTAAGCATAAAACAATACATTATGAGACAGACAGAACGAACGTGTCTTTATATTGCCGCGCATAGTGCCGAGCAAGCAACGCTCGGTCACAGACTTCTAGAAGATTCGTGTTTGCTCTTACTCGGGACGTAACTTTTATCATTTTCTCCTACTTTCTAGTTCCCAAAAGTGCCTGTTCATTCTCACCCCGAACACTGGATGCTAGAGCCTTCTAGGCCAAATTTGCGAGATGCCGACGTACACTAGATAAGGAGCTGCCCATGACCTTGTTGAGGCAGTCTCGCTCTTGCTTGCTGTTACGTTGCCAAATTGCTGTTCACTTTCCTGCTGTCTCAACGCTCGTCATTTATTTTGTTTAGCACAAGTTGGCCCGTTAAACATTTAGTTTAAAACAAAAGTTTCGCCGCTTCTGCGCCTGTCCTTCGTGACATTTCTAGTGGAGGTGCGGGGTACCGCTGCCCATGAAGCTTACCCCTCCGAGGCCTCGCAGCTCAAGCCGCCGTCTTCAAGGTTTGGAATTTGGTCTACTGCCAGAGAAGACCCATCAGTCGACGAAGCCGGTGATGAGCAACCAATTGTAGCAGACTCCCGCCGCTGCCTCCCCGTCGTTTACCTGCTCGTTGCCCCTCGAACTCCGGCGACCTACCAGGGCGAGATTTATGAAGTCTTCAAAGACTGGTTGGAGCAATAAGAATGGGTGGCGCTGCATAACCAGTGGACTTCCGAACAGCGTCTTCAGAACGTCTATTTTTCACTCGAGGGAGCCGCGCGACGTTGGTTCGAAAGTCATGAAGCGTCGCTTACCAACCGGGAGCTCCCCAAGGCTGAACTGCGTCGAAGCTTCACAAAACAGCAACGACGGGAACGCGCCGAAGAGCAACTACAGCCGAGAGCTCAAGGACCAAACGAAAGCGTGGAGAGCTTTGTCAAGGATGTCGTGGATCCCCAGGCCACAGAATAAAAAAAAAAAACTGAAGATCCTTATGCGTGGCGTCAAAGAGGCCATATTTGGTGGCCTTTTATGAAACCCGCCTACCACCGTCGATGGTTTCGTAAAGTAGACAATGAACGTCGAGCGGGCACTCCAAGCCCGCGCCTTACACTGCCAGCGACTGAAAAACGTCCCTGTCACTGCGCTCTCTAGCCTCGACGTCGGGTTCCAGCCTCACTGGTATCCTAGAGATGATTCACGGCGGCTTACGGGAGGAGCAGAAAAAATTGCTGCGGGCTGCCGAACGCCTCGCTTCGCTCTCCGTAACCGAAGCAGTCCGAGAAGGGGTTCAACGGGCGCTCCAACCAGAGGCCCCCGTCAGCATCGCGGACGCTCGAGGAACCGACTCTGAGCTACGTCGCCCTGGCCAGACGACAGCCACCAGCAACCCGCCAGCACCAGTACCAGCACACGGCGCACCCTCGACGGCAAGCCGCACGCAGCATTCCGCTCGCCGCACTGAGGAACAAGCCCCGTACGTCCGAGCCGAACCCCCGGCGCCAGGAGGACGGGCGTTTGGCGCACGGCAAACCGACGCCCGCTGTGATACCACTGCGGGGAAGCCGACCACGTCTACCGCCGTTGCCCGTACCGGCAGACGGGGCTACGCGGCGTCCACCCCGACGACCGCTCCCACGCTGCGGTGAGCGACCTCGGGAGATCGACGACTAACTTTGATGTCCACCCTTTCAGATGTCTGCGCCTTGACGTGGGAGCCGGTCGCTCTCACCGCGACGCCCAGCTTCGCCGATGCATAGGCCCCACCGTGAAAGCCTGTCGCTCCTCGCCCCTCATCGGGGAAACTAAGTGCGGCCACCCCTGGAGGTGGAATTGCCGAAGAGGACCGTCGGAAAGACCCTCCAAGTACGTCGGAGGACCCCCACTCTAGCGACGACAAGCATCGAAACGACGATTCTGCAACGGTGCCCAAGAACCTAAACGTTCTCATCAACGGCCACGAAGCGTTGGCACTGATGTACACCGAAGCAGATCACTCCGTTTTGAGTGGGAAGCTCTCTCGCCGCCTTCAGAAAGTCACAATGACCTGGGACGGCCCGCAAATACGCACCGCCGGAGGACACTTCATCACGCCAGTTGGGAGGTGACTGGTGGCATCAGAATTTATGGGGTGATCTGTCCAGACAAGTTCGTCGTCTTTCAGGACCGTGTGAGAGACGTCATCCTTGGCATGAACTTGCTGTGCGTGATCGACCTTGGAGGGAATAGGTTGACGGTGCGAAAGCCCATCCTACCTCCGGAGGGATCCAAGACGACGCCAGCCGCCATCCGAGTCATTGCGCACCACGTGAACCTGCCGCCGCGGTCAAGTGTTCTTGTGCCCTTCGTAACCGATGCACTCGTCTGCGGGGAAGTTCTCCTGGAAGGCAACGTTCAACTGCTTCTCGGATGAGGAATAGGCGTCGTAAGGGGCGTAACAGAGCTGCCGGGTGGACGCAGTATGGTCCTCGTTACAAACTTACGACAGGAGGCGCAGCACCTCAAGAAAGGTTCCGTTGTAGGGCCACGTCGAGGAACCCGGAACGCCGCCGAAATCGCCGCTATCTCTGATGAGCCCTCGCCATCTCAGCCGTACAGTACACCGCCGCCGCCGCTCGACGTTAGCCCCAAGCCCAGTGCAACGGAAAAGACAACAGCTCAGAGACCTTCTAGCCAAATTCAGGAACTGCTTTGCGACGACGTCGAAGGTGCTCCAAACAACAGTTACGAAACATCGCATAGTGACCAATGACGATGCGCTCCCCGTGCATCGGCCGCCGTACCGGGTCTCCCCAACGGGAAGAGAGGCCATTCATGAACAAGTACAAGAGAGGCTCAATGACCACCTTATCCAGCCTTCAAGCAGCCCGTGGGCCTCTCCAGTCTTACTCTTGTAAAAGAAGAACGAAATGCTTCGATTCTGAGTAGACTACCGGCGGCAATCTGACAATACTATCAGACGATAGTAGGATTGTATTGTAGGACAATGCTCTCTGGAAGCCTGGTGTCTTGCTGTAGCTCTATGACAAAACTGTCTTTCTGTTTAAAAAGGTTTGGCTTTACAAGATCTGGGTGAATACTTGACTAGGTGTTTACAAAGCTACGCCATTTTTAATAAGCACACCGTCCATACAGTGACCTAGAGAGTTATTTCAAAATGTATTACTTGTTGGAAAATTTGCCTGCCCTATGACACAGGTATGTGCGGTAAATCTCTATGTGAGTCATCATCCAGAAGCAATATTTTGCGAGGAAGGCACGTATCTGTCAGACAAGCCGTCGTGGGAGAGCAAAGAACCGTCCCGTTCATTTAGACACCAGTGAATATATATGATTCGGGTCATGTGACCAGTGGTACCAGTTGGCGAGGAACCGGCCCGTCGGCGCGTTATCCATGATGACATCACATCTTCCCCCTTTACTTTAGGCAGGAAACCATAACAAATCGTTCTTTGTCGTAAACAAACTAGTCAATAATTTTGACTTTTAGAAATCTTTACAACACGCCCAGATCGCGTCGTTACACCGTGTGACGCGGTTTCACTCGCTGGGGCAGTCTGTTGAGTGCTGGTCGACGGATGATTGGACGTACAAGGCTCGCTTGACGGTGTGGTCTCCCCAGACTTGCTTGCATCATTCCAGGATCGTTGTCCGGCAGCAGGAACAGGTGACGGCGGTTCCTGCAGAAGGTGCCGTCCTTTGTCCTGACCCCGTAGGACCTTGGTGTGTCCCCGGGGCGAAGTATGGTACCCGTAGCACCTCTGTTTCTCAGCCACACTTGGTTGCCTGCAGAAAGACTACGCAAGGGTCTGGCCGCGTGACGCTTGTCAAAATACGTTTTCTGTTTCTGCCTAGTACTCCTGATCTCTTTTCTTCCAAGAAGAGTTTACCGTGCGAGGTTCGAGTAAAGATGGAGTGCAAGGCGCGCTTGAGCGAAGTCGTCGGCTTAT